CGTGACCGGTCAAAATGTTTGCGATGCTGACTTTTCATTGTTCCCATGCATGAATCAGAATCTGAACGGCAATGCTGCAGGTTCCCAGGCCTCAGGGCAAGGTAGTTGCAGTTTTGACAATGTACGAGGTATCCATTGATTCAAGCGAGGCCTTTGGACGCTAAGCTGAATCGTCATGTCCAAATCTGAATAGAAGATCTGGCTCCACACTCAAACAACTATCTCCATGTTGAAGATTTTTCATAGCAATCTCGCTGTTGATATTATCTGGGGGATTTTGTCAACATTTTCGTTAAAAGTTATGCTTGCAAACAACGTGTAGTATCGAGCATCATTTGTGCAATATTTGTGATAAGGTAAACGTTGTCGTAAACGTTTTATATTTCTACCATAAAAGTGTTTCGATAAGGCCCGTTGCTTCGATTAACATGGGACATTGGGACAGGCATCAATATTGCAAGAGCATGGGATTCCAAATAAATGATGTTGAGTCTCCTCCCCAATACAAGCATAGTTTCTAAATGAATTTGATCTTGCATGGGTCAACATTTTTATTGGTTTTAGTTTTCTTCCAAGCAGATCTTGGCATGCCCTAGTGAAAAATCCTACAGGGTAGCCCTGTATGGTTGACCCTACAGGATTTTTGACGAAATTGTTACCAGGGTTCCTACAGGGTGTCGTACAGGGTACCGTGCACGGTGTCGTGCATGGTGCCGTGCACGGTGTCGTACAGGGTACCGTGCACGGTGTCGTACAGGGTGCCGTGCACGGTGTCGTACAGGGTGCCGTGCACGGTGTCGTACAGGGTACCGTGCACGGTGAGGTACAGGATACCGTGCATGGTTTCGTACAGGGTACCGTGCACGGTTTCGTACAGGATACCGTGCACGGTGTCGTACAGGGTACCGTGCACGGTGTCGTACAGGGTATCGTAAAGGATCTCGTACAGGGCACCACACTCGCCATTCTATAAGTATTCCGCATCTTGTTATTGTGCTGAGCCGCTGTTGAAAACAGCGGCTCAGCACACCTCCGACTCGGGCATCTCCGACTCGGGCATCTTGAGCCGGTTGACCAGGAATGCTAAAAAGACCCACGAGTTCCCGCGTTACCGACAAAGTCAATATTCGGAATAAATGTATTTCTGGGATAAATGCACAGCCATTTCCGGGTCACATCCCGTCACATTACGACACACGTCGTCGCGTCGCGGCTGCCGCTCCGTCCATCGATCTACGAATCTCGAGTGGTGGTGTCGCCCGACGATCCTCGCATCCTGCGTTCCTGTAACAAGGTGGATATTCACATGTTACAATGATAATATATTGATTGAAGGGACCCCTGCCGTCGAAAGTAACTAATCGGCATAAAAGTGATACATACAACGCGATACAAAGTGATCGGCATACCTACAACATTGTTTTGATGTTGTATCACAATATTGCATATCAATCTCCTATCAACCAAATATAACGCAAATTCAACGTGAAATAAATGCTGGATCGATGTCGAAAAACGGTTGATCCTCAATGTTGACAATCAACCTGGATTCAACCAATTTTTAATATTGAATTAATGTTGTGTGCTACTATGTAGTAGCGTCGACGCTACTAATGCGCTCTGGTATCTGATAGTAGACATTTAAATGTCTATTTTTTCAGCTATTTTTTTCGATCAGCTATTTTTGAGTGAACGTTTCGACGCCGTTTTTTTGTCTGTAATGCTGCAAATATTGAGAACAATTTTTTATTGTTACACATCAATACAGCATGGCAGAAACTTACCTTCAGGTCGGAAGAGGAGACGGCAGATGACATCGCACGGCACACACTCGACACTTCCGTCGGCTCTCCGCACATCGCGAGCGGGCAGTGAATGGGACGGACGGAATGCGGCGGAGGGGGACGCGCGCTCCCCTCTCCGCCCCAGGCGAGGATCGGGACGCCCGCCGCCGACCGTACGGTCTCTAAAACGGACAGTGGTCGTTAAATTCCAGTCGGTACAGTCTCTGAAAGATCACCACAGCGCACAAATGCACACTTTAGTCCCCGAATAATATGTAGGGGAAAGTGGGGTAAGACGGTCAGGGTAGGTAAGACGGGCACCCCTTCTGCAGACCAAACCAATAGCGCTACGAGCAAGAAAAGTTAGGACCAGAATTGCCTTTCCCACTACACACCACCATTCAAGTCTGGTGAATTTGTGTTCAGTCGATAATCTTTTATTTTGATTTCTTTAAAACACTCATTTCATTGAAAACATCCATAATGTATTGTGCAAGCTTTTGTGTACAGCACTATAGAGTTAAAAACTCGCAATCACTTGTGGTACACTCATATGCCAACAGTGTTCATTTACGGCGGATTTGCTTTGTCTGCATCAAATTGTCCACAGCGAAAAATCGTGCTGAACTTCTGACATTGAGTTTGGGGTAAGACGGGCAACTATGAACCCAATGGGTCTGTAATGGTGAAAATATTTTTGTTGCTGTAGGAAAAAAGAAGCATTTCTAATAAGAATATGTTCGATTCCGATACTCACAGACATGTTAGCAATATTCCTTCGGCACAGTTTATTCTCGAATAATGAATGTGAAAAACGGTTCTACATGGCTTCTGAACTAGGGCCTATATAGGAGCATACGCCTTCTGCACGAATCTCGTATACTGCCATTTCCGAAGCACTTGAGACCAACGAGCGACTGTATAAATGCGGCTAATCTCGGGCATTTGTTGCGAGCTGCGCTGATCGGTGAAAGAAGCTGGCCGTCTTGCCCTACCCATGTGACCGTCTTACCCCATGGGGTGGGGTAAGACGGGTTTTTGCAAGGTTTTGCAAAAATAGCTGCAGTTTATTTGTTGAATCAGGTCTAAGTCTCATCTTCTGGCAAATGAAAGTAAAATGTCTGAAAAAGGTTTTCACCCAGTTTCCCGTTTCTATGATGTTTCTAACCGGCCGAAAAATGGCTCCAAAGTTAAGGTGCCCGTCTTACCCCACTTTCCCCTACAGTACAGCAACGCGTCAAATTAAGATGATAATGTTATGAAAGGATTAGGGAGTTATGAAGTGAATCGATTCTTTTATAGGGATCAATTCACAATTCGTAATTCCCTATATATCGGGACAATGTTGACAACAACATTCGAATGTTTATGTCCCCGCCAGTTCTAATAATGAGCAGTACCGTCCTGAGGAGATGAATAAATCCCGGTAGGTTGCAGATTGAGAAAAATGTCCATTGTCCAACATATCAACGCACCGGGGCGAGGCATTTCTCCCTAGGTAGGTACTCCTCAGTCCTCAATCTCATACTTTACTTGACAGGTGCATCGTTTACAACTTTTCTCCACGTAGTCCGTGTGGAGCAAATGATCGCATTTGCTTGAGAGTTCAGCGAGCTCTTTAATTATGATTTATGCGAAAAACGATTAGCGGGAGTAGCCTTCAATGGGATCAGCACATTCTTGTAAGATTCTTCAATCTTACCAGAATCAGCATTCTCGCGAGAATCTGCCTATGCCAGATTCTTATAAGCTCTGTATGATGTTGGCCAATCTTGTACAAGCTCTGCTAGGCCTTGCAAGACTGTCTTCAAAATCTTATAAGATCATGCAAGATAGTGAAGATTCTGGTGAAATCTTATAAGACTTTTTCACACACACACACACACACACACACACACACATACTTGTAAAGTGTGAATTATGAGGACACCGCACGTAGGTCATATTCGAGGACACATCGAAGACTGCGTTGGATTGACTCCTAATTTCATATGAATCATTGGCACAGTATCTGATATTACGTATTGACTGTTGTTAGCTTTGGGCCCATTTGAACTGGTGTTATGTGACGTTGACCATCCGAGGACAATAGGCGAGATCAGAGGACAGTGTGTGGAGTCGTCATACAGATAGGCGAGATCAGAGGACAGTGTGTGGAGTCGTCATACAGTACATGGTTTCTGAGAACAGAATGCGGAGTTGCCAGACAAGACATGATTTCAGGGGACATCACAAAATTTATACTCGCGGGATGACATGTCATCGGATAAGGTAAGCGGTATCGAATATTAAACCTCGCCGGCCGAAGGGGAGGCCGCCCAAAAGTTTTTTTTCGCGATAGTTTCGAACACGCTGACGATGGCGAGCTGAAACTTGGCATACCTGACCTTTGATTCAAGCCGCATCTTCTGACATCAACCGCATTTCATTCGACACGCCAGACTAAGGCGAACACGATGTTGTGAAAATCGCGGCTGTGATATATTTTTTTTGCGTTTTTATTCGCCAAAAACCGAACCCATCTCTTGGGGCACTTGACCTGACCTCAGAGGTCACCGGTTGACCTAGGACCTTAAAATCGGGTACCAATCTCTGCGTCTCGTAACGGCGCACACGCTCGTTTTTTTCCGCGACGCGCTAGCTCCATTAGGGGCGAAACGGCGAGGGGGTCGCACCCACCCCATTCGGCCGGCGCGTATGTAGAAAACCAATAGGTCCGGCTCCGGCGAGGGTTAAACCAGGCAGTTGCTTGGGTGCCTCTCCACCCAACGCATGCTGGGGACCGGGGGGCGTTAAACACCCCCAGCCGATAACTCAAGCACCACTAATCGCAGCTAGACGGGCGAGACAGTAAAAGAAAGCTCGGGACAAGACACGTCTGATGAGCACTCAAAATTTGAATTTTGAAGTCAGGGGTCGGGTCAAGGTCAGGTCAACTACACGACATTGGGAACTCAGCAGTTTGGGTTTCATGACCTTCTGTGCTGGGCACTTATTATCATAAACGTGGTCATAATTGCGCAACATATTACAATTAAGTGATAAATGTGTGTCATGTTGATGCAATGGTCAGTTAATCTAAGCCCGGATTAAGGTGTTTCTCTAAAAGTTCAAGGCTTTGTTTCGTGCTACCTATAATACCGGTCTGTGTAATTCAGCACCGGCCGGACGGCGCGGGGCGAGACCTTCCGTACATAGATACAAAAAAAGCGAAAA